GGGGGGTCAGGTGACGTGCAGTCCTGGAATTTGGGTCCCTGGGGGTCTTGGGTCTTGATGAAAGCCTTCAGGGCTGGTCCCCGGAGCAGGATGGTCAGCGTTCTGACAGTGGTCAGGCGGTGATGGGGTGTGTGTCATACAGGTGTTTCTGATCGACCTCAAATTCCTGGTGACCAGGAGTGTAAGTTCAGGGCTGGTTAAAAGGCCCTTTGTTCTTGCCTGGTCTACTGGGAACTGCAACAAAATCTTAGCCAGAACGAAAAAAGATTCCCCATCATTCTAGACATTCCTGCCTTTCCTGCTATTAATAACTGTCACCTGCAGCCCCAGAGCAGCATTTGTTGAGGCATTTCTCTGCTTTCCAGAAGTTGCTATTTGGAGCTGAAAGCAATATGCCTCAAAAGCAGGCAGCAATCCACTTCCCAGCCCAGCAAAACTATTGTCTGCCGAGCAGCTCTGACAGCAGCTGCCGCGGGAGTGACTGAACCCCCCTGCCAGGCTGGTGTGGAGATGAGAGCAGGGTCTCTGGATTCTGTAGAAAATGGTAAGGGGCCTTCCCCTCGAGATAGCACCCTGCTGCTAAGCAGTGTCAATCCAACTTGCGTGATGCTTCATGCAAAGGCAGGAATTGCCTGATATAGTGCTTGTAAGACACAGCCACCCCAAAGCAATATGCTTGAGTGCAGCCCCTAAATGTCTTCATTTATCGTGGGTTATAAAATATCAAGATAAAAATTATAACTAGGGAAAGGCTGTTAACTAGGTAGCCTTGCAGACAGAGATACAGGCCAAAGGCATTTCCATTTCCTGTGGCAGATCATGCTTCTCAGGGGCAACCTCCACGCTGCTAACCCAGGGAGGAGCTGAAGTTTATTTCCAACCCAGCTGCTACCCGCAGCCTCCTGGGTGGCCTCGTACGAAGGCCTCTCGGCGCCCAGTCCACATTCTCTCTCCAGAGCTGTGACTGCCTGGCCTTTCCCGGCACTTGGGGACCAGGGGCTCTGCACAAGGAGAGAGGCACCAGACTGACGGAAGAGGCAGGTGACAGAAATCTAAAGGGGAGCTGGGCACCCAGGACCGGGCGGCGCTGGTGGCAAGTTACAACTTGCCTCAGCTTTAGTTTTCCTTTTCATGTGGGATGCTTTCTGGTTCCTTGGTGGGCCTCGGTCCACAGTGATCTTTTCAAATGCTGAGTCCTTCTTGAAGAAGTGAATGGTGAGTATCGTCACCCTCCCAGCGACAGCTGGCTGACCTGCCTCTAAGGCCCAATCCCAGAACCCCCAAGAGTTTGTCAGGAAGCTCCATGTGGGCCTAGAGCTTGAAAGAAGGACACATGGAAAAGAAAGGAGAAAGGACCTTAGGCTGAGGCCGCCTCCCCTTCAGCGACACAGGAGGCAGGATGAATGATCACATTTGCAGTTGGGCGGTAGTTTCCTGGGAACAGCAAGTAATTTAAGACATCAATGTATTATGGATTTCCATTTATCACTGTATTTTTAAAGCTTGTTGAGGTAAGCTGGCAATGCAGAAAATGGAGGAAACAATTGGTCTATTTATTTATTTTTATTTATTTTATTTTTAAAAAATATATATCTTTATTGATTTCAGAGAGAGGAAAGGAGAGGAAGAGAGAGAGACAGAAACATCAATGATGAGAGAGTCATTGATTGGCCGCCTCCTGCAATCCCCTGACTGGGGATCGAGCCCGCAACCCCGATCGCCTGGATCCCAGGTCGGCGCTCAACTGCTGAGCCATGCCCGGCAGGGCACAATTGGTCTATTTAAAAAACATGACCCTTGATCACAGGTACATAATTGTTTGTGATAATTCTCAAGACATAATTGGTTCATAATTATCACAACATACGTAGATGGGTTTCTGTTCTTTACCCAATGATTTCTTTCAGCAACGTGGTAACGTCCTTTAGCAGGTGCTGAGACGTCCCTAAGTTTACCAGATGTTGAAACAGATATGCCCTGTTACTAAACCTACTTAGTGTTGCTGATTTGATAGTAACATGCGCAGAATTATTGTGTCACCTGTTACTTGGAATTAACACTGGGAGGTGAATAGCAGCTGAGGTGCTTGTTGAGCAGACCCTTGGGCCCACCTCCCACCCCCGGGAGCTCTGACCCGCACTGTTCAAGACTCATTCAGTTGCAGGGCATTCTTCTCAGGGAAGAGCAACAAGAACCTTATTGACCTTCAGGAACAGCAGTCCTGAATTTTGAATCTCATTGTGTTGATTTTCATTTCAAAATGAAGCAAATATCACCTAGTTACACTGTAGCCAAGTGGGAGCTCCACTTTGTATACAATCTGCTAATGAGATGTTACCTGAAATATTTCTGAGAGCAGCTTCAACCAGTGATTCTTTCATTTCCTGTTATTTTCAGCTGCTGTGTTTGCGCACATGGTGGCTAAGGTATCAGAAGAACTGAAAATTCCAGGGAGCACTGTTTGAGCTGTTATAATTGATCTCCTTGGTGTTCCAGGGTGTCCTCACGCCAGACCAGCGGGTAAGATACAACTCCATTGCAATATCTGTGCCGTTTCTTGGAGTATTGTGGCCAGAAAAGCAAGTGAAAGAGGCAATTGATTAATTTAGCCTCCTGGGTTCATCTCAACAACCCAACTATCCATCCAACTTGCTTTATGTCTCTTCCTCCAAACTCAGTTGGAGGTCAGCTCAATTTTTCCTCCCGCTCCTCCCTGTTTACATCGCCGGACATATAATCATGCTTTTCCCAAGACTTAAACTCTCCCTGCTGGTGTAAATGATGCTCATAACTGCTCCCCTACAGCAATCGCTGGTCTCTTTTGAGTCTGTCAGATTATTGTCTATCACCTATACTGTTTCGTTGGCATTTAATCATGTTTTCATTCATTGTATCCCTTGCATTGTTATTTAACTTTTTAGCAGTCTACAAACTCCGACTGCAGAAATCACATGTCCTATTTCTTTGTTTTCCCCCAAAAGCTATAGCACTGCATGTAGAGATTACATATAGCTAAATGACTATACACTGCTTCACCTCTGCAAATTATACTTCAAGTCTAAAAGATTGAAAGCAGTTATACAGGATATTTATTTTTGGAAATCAGTGGAATTTTATGAAATATAAAAAAGAAAGTCACACTCTTGAATGCTTTTAGAAATTTTAAATGTTCAGTTTCTTTAGAAATCATGAACATGATGTTTTTCTCTTATTATTTACATACTTTGTAAACATGTACACAGTGCAGAGTGCTCTTCGGGAAGAGGCTTAGCCTCTATGACAGCACAGGCCTTGTAAAATAAATAAAAATTCAGGACATCTTCTCTCCCTAAAGGGAAGCTGCTCCTGCGCTGAGAAGTTGGTCTTCAACCCACAGCAACTCAGGCTGAGTTTTGAAGGATTTTTACATCTCCCTCCTGCTATCTACTTTCCTTTCCCTCTGTCTTTTCCCCCACAGATGGTCTCCCTTTGAGAATTTCCTGTGGTTTTCCTTGATTTTGATACTTCCTCTTGGTTACTTAACTCCTTTAAATTTCTTCTACTTGCATTTAACCTTTTTACTAAACAAATCATACCTAGTATTCAAATTATTTTTATGTCCTGAAGAAAAAAAGAAATGAGGACACATCTATTGTGTCCTCAGGCCACCACCATGACTTTTAAAGTACCTGGCACTAGGTCCTCTCCCTCCTCTTTAGCAACCATATTTCTCTAAAACCAAACATACTTTATGCCTCTTAGGCAGAATATAAAGTGAAATAACTTGTATTAATGTAATAAATTGGCTATACTGCAAAGAACAAAATTATGTAACATAATAACCATTCCACAAAATTCAAGCTGTGTGGTTTCTGGGTGTAGGAATGTGGCCAGAGAAGTCTCCTGCTCTGGGAACCAATGATTAAGAGTAATATTCGGTAGACAAGACAAAGGACAGGACAACTGAGTAAACAATAAATATTTAAATGAGATACCCCTATTATTGGCAGGGGTTATGTAATGTTTCTTTGTCAGATTAGCATTCGAGGTTTAATTAAAATTTTATTGGAAGAAGGTGGGAAAAAGGTATAAAATTCCAGTTATAATTAAATAAGTCCTGGGGCTGTGATGTACAACAGGATGAGTGTCCTTAACACTGCTGTGTGCTATATTTGAAAGTTGTTAAAGAGAATATATCCTAAGAGTTCTTATTACAAGGGAAAAAACATATTTCCTTTTTTTGTATTTATATGAGATGATGAAGGTTAACTAAATTTATTGTAGTAATCATTTCACAGTATATGTAAGACATGCTATACTCTTTAAACAGTGCTGAATGCCCACTGAATCTCAGCAAAACTGGAAAAAAAGGCATGAAGTTCAAACCCAGGTACCAAGACCTTGACACATTTATATACCATATACCTATGAAACTATTAACACAATCAAAATAGTAAACGTATCTATTACCTTCTTTGTGATCCCTTCCACACCCCTCTCCCTCTCCCATGTCTCATCCTTGGCAACCACTGGTCAGCATTCTGTGACATCAGATTAGTCTGCATTTTCTAGAATTTTATTTAATAGAATCAAACAACATAAGCCCTCTTTATATTCTTGCTTTTTTCACTCAGCATTGTTATTTCAGGCTCTTCCTCCTTGCTGCGTGTATTTGTACCACATTCCTGTCTCATTGCTGAGCAGTCGGGTTCCATTGTTTGAAAATATCCAATTTTTTATCAGTTTAACTGTTTGATGACATTCTGGATATTTCTAACTTGGGGCTTTGGCCAATAAAGCTTCTGTGAGCTTTCAGGCCCAGTTATTGTGTGGATATATGCTTACTGTTGTCTTGGGTGAACAGGTAGGAATGGAATGAGTGTGTCATACGGGAGGAAGATGTTTAACATTTTAAGAAACAGTCACACTTTCCCAGAGAGGTTGCAGCATTTTCCATTCCTGCTGAGAATTCTTCCACATCCTCGTGAGCGCTTGGCATGACCAGTCTTTTTAGTTCTAGCCATTTTAGTCGGCGTGTAGTGTTATCTCATCGTGACTGCGGTTTGCGTGCCCTTAATAACTAATAATGTTGAGCGTCTTTCATTTGCTTGCTATTTATGTATATTCTTCAAGTTATGTCTGCTCAAATGTTTTATTTGATTGTATTCTTATTTTAGAGTTTTGAAAGTTTTTATATATTCTGGATATAAGTGTTTTATCGAATATATATTTTAGTTTCTTTCTTCCAATCTGTGGAAAGTCTTTCCATTCTCTTAACAGTGTCTAAAAGAGACGACATTTCTAATTTTGATGAACCCTAATGTATCAAATTATATTTATAAACTGTGCTTTTGCTGTTGGATTTAAGAAATCTCTCTTCACCCAATGTCACAAAGACTTTTTGTGTAATTTTTATAGATCTTTGTTTTACACTTAGCTATGAAATCCATTTTTAGTTAATTGGTGATGTGGTGTGAGGTAGGAATTAAATTCATCTTATTTTTCCCGCACTGTTTATTACAAATACCATCACCCCTCTACTAAATGGTCTCTGTTTTTTTGTCAAAAATTAGTTGTTAATTTATGCTTAAACATATAGATTCTCTATTCAGGTCCATTTATTGATGTGTCTACTTTATGTCAATACCATTTGTTTCGATTATTTGAGCTCCACAGTTAAGTCTTGATATCAGGGAGTGTTCTTGTTGTTTATTTTCCTTCTTCAAAGTTGTTTCAGCTCCTCCAGGTCCTTGGCATTGCTGTTTATATTGTAAAATCAGCTTTCACTTGGTTCAAATGTCTGCTGGAATTTTGACTGGGTTTATGTCCAATCCATAGATGTATTTTGGGGGGGGGGGGG